CTATCTCTCTCCTCTCTCACTTCCCTTTCCCTTCTCTCCTTCTAGTTTCTTTTTTAACTGATAAAACACAAGAAAGGAACTTGCGTGATAAAGCAGTGGAAGGTAAAGCAGAGGGTGACTCCTTGCGCGTGGACCTTGCCGTACTTCATCATATCCCTCTTCTCGGCCTATCTCTTCTGCTCTTTTTTCTTACTGTTCTCCTTTTCATAATTCTTCCTGTTTAGTTGTTCTTATTTCGAAAAGAAAGAGGGAAGGGAGAGATAAGGGAGGGAGGAAAGATAAAGAAAAGTGCCATCTTCTCAGCGCCTTGTTTTGTCTCTCCTTCTTCTCTATTCATCTCTCTTCTATTCTTTTCTTTGCCATTCCATTGAAACTGGATTCCTGTTATCTCTCCTCTCCTCTCTCCTTCTCTCTCGCTCCTCTTCTCCTGTTCCCCTCTAAACGATTGCTCTTTACAGATAGGTGCCCCCTCTCCTCTTCAGGAATTTCCTTTCCCTTATTTTGCTTTTTGAAGCGAAGAAAACAACAGATAAGAAGAGAGGAAAGTGAATGACTAAGTAAAGAGAGGAGCCCTTCAATTTCCCTCCCTATATCTGACGCTATTATTCTTTCTTGGTTGTCGCCCTTCTTTCTCCCTTGAAGATGCAGAAAACGATCAGGAAGGACACCCGTTCCATCGCCCATATATGAGAGAAATCATGAGCATCAGCTGGGTTTGCTGCCGATCCAAAATGGGCGTCCTTTTTAATCGCCTTCTGTGTCTTCAAACGAGCAAAAGGACACCCTGACTAAGTGTTTCCTTGTGGTGTCCCTTTTCCTCGCTTGAAGATGCAGAAAACGATCCAAAAAGACACGCGTTCCATCGCCCATATATGGGGAGAGAGAAAAATCATGAGCATCAGTTGGGCTTGCTGCCAATCCAGAGCGGGCGTCCCTTTTAATCGCTTGCTGTGTCTTCAAACGAGCAAAAGGGACACCCTAAGTGCTTTCTTGTGGGGTGTCCCTTTTCCTCGCTTGAAGATGCAGAAAACGATCAAACAGGACACCCGTTCCATCGCCCATATATAGGGAGAGAGAGAGAGAGAGAAATCATGAGCATCAGCTGGGTTTGCTTACATGTTCATTGTTCTTCCTTTTGTTTCTTTCTTTCTAACGGAAATGAACAAGAGAAGAGAAAAATTAGAACCAGAAGAAAGATGAAAACGAGCACCGTCTTCTCTTTGCCTGATTTTTGCGCCTCCCTCGCCTGTCTTCATTTCTCTTCCATTCTTGTCATTGCTTATCCCATTAGAGTTGCGTTCCTTTTGATCTCTCCTCTCTCCTTTCTCTCTCTCTCTCTCTCTCTCTCTCTCTCTCTCTCTCTCTCTCTCTCCCTTCTCTTCTCTTGTTCTCCTGTAAATCTCAAAAACACACAAAAGGAAGCTTCTTTTGCCTTTTTGAAAGAAAAAAGAAAAAAAGAGATGGGGAAACAAATTGAAGAGCTCCACTGCCTATTGTTTCATTCCCTTTCCTCTCGTTCTATGTGTTGTTTCCTTGTCGTTTCAGAGAGCAAGCAAAATGAGGGCAAGGGCTTCCTGAAGAGGAGAGAGGGCACCTATCTGCGAAGAGCAAGAATAGTCTTGTCTTGTTTAATTATAGAGGGAAAGGGAGAGACAAGGAAGGGAGAGATTATAGATAAAGAAGAGTGCCATCTCCTGTGCGCCTTGTTGTGTTCCTCCGTCTCCTTGTTTCTTGTCTCCTCTCTTCTGTTCAGTACCCTTCCAGAAAAATAAAATGGCCTCCTTGCTGTCTCTCCTCTCTCACTTCCCTTTCCCTTCTCTCCTTCTGTTTCCTTTTAACTGATAAAACACAATAAAGGAACTTGCATGATAAAGCAGTGGAAGGTAAAGCAGAGGGTGACTCCTTGCGCGTGGACCTTGCCGTACTTCATCATATCCCTCTTCTCGGCCTATCTCTTCTGCTCTTTTTTCTTACTGTTCTCCTTTTCATAATTCTTCCTGTTTAGTTGTTCTTATTTCGAAAAGAAAGAGGGAAGGGAGAGATAAGGGAGGGAGGAAAGATAAAGAAAAGTGCCATCTTCTCAGCGCCTTGTTTTGTCTCTCCTTCTTCTCTATTCATCTCTCTTCTATTCTTTTCTTTGCCATTCCATTGAAACTGGATTCCTGTTATCTCTCCTCTCCTCTCTCCTTCTCTCTCGCTCCTCTTCTCCTGTTCCCCTCTAAACGATTGCTCTTTACAGATAGGTGCCCCCTCTCCTCTTCAGGAAATTTCCTTTCCCTTATTTTGCTTTTTGAAGCGAAGAAAACAACAGATAAGAAGAGAGGAAAGTGAATGACTAAGTAAAGAGAGGAGCCCTTCAATTTCCCTCCCTATATCTGACGCTATTATTCTTTCTTGGTTGTCGCCCTTCTTTCTCCCTTGAAGATGCAGAAAACGATCAGGAAGGACACCCGTTCCATCGCCCATATATGAGAGAAATCATGAGCATCAGCTGGGTTTGCTGCCGATCCAAAATGGGCGTCCATTTTAATCGCCTTCTGTGTCTTCAAACGAGCAAAAGGACACCCTGACTAAGTGTTTCCTTGTGGTGTCCCTTTTCCTCGCTTGAAGATGCAGAAAACGATCCAAAAAGACACGCGTTCCATCGCCCATATATGGGGAGAGAGAAAAATCATGAGCATCAGTTGGGCTTGCTGCCAATCCAGAGCGGGCGTCCCTTTTAATCGCTTGCTGTGTCTTCAAACGAGCAAAAGGGACACCCTAAGTGCTTTCTTGTGGGGTGTCCCTTTTCCTCGCTTGAAGATGCAGAAAACGATCAAACAGGACACTCGTTCCATCGCCCATATATAGGGAGAGAGAGAGAGAGAGAAATCATGAGCATCAGCTGGGTTTGCTTACATGTTCATTGTTCTTCCTTTTGTTTCTTTCTTTCTAACGGAAATGAACAAGAGAAGAGAAAAATTAGAACCAGAAGAAAGATGAAAACGAGCACCGTCTTCTCTTTGCCTGATTTTTGCGCCTCCCTCGCCTGTCTTCATTTCTCTTCCATTCTTGTCATTGCTTATCCCATTAGAGTTGCGTTCCTTTTGATCTCTCCTCTCTCCTTTCTCTCTCTCTCTCTCTCTCTCTCTCTCTCTCTCTCTCTCTCTCTCTCTCCCTTCTCTTCTCTTGTTCTCCTGTAAATCTCAAAAACACACAAAAGGAAGCTTCTTTTGCCTTTTTGAAAGAAAAAAGAAAAAAAAGAGATGGGGAAACAAATTGAAGAGCTCCACTGCCTATTGTTTCATTCCCTTTCCTCTCGTTCTATGTGTTGTTTCCTTGTCGTTTCAGAGAGCAAGCAAAATGAGGGCAAGGGCTTCCTGAAGAGGAGAGAGGGCACCTATCTGCGAAGAGCAAGAATAGTCTTGTCTTGTTTAATTATAGAGGGAAAGGGAGAGACAAGGAAGGGAGAGATTATAGATAAAGAAGAGTGCCATCTCCTGCGCGCCTTGTTGTGTTCCTCCGTCTCCTTGTTTCTTGTCTCCTCTCTTCTGTTCAGTACCCTTCCAGAAAAATAAAATGGCCTCCTTGCTGTCTCTCCTCTCTCGCTTCCCTTTCCCTTCTCTCCTTCTGTTTCCTTTTAACTGATAAAACACAATAAAGGAACTTGCATGATAAAACCTTGCCGTACTTCATCATATCCCTCTTCTCGGCCTATCTCTTCTGCTCTGAGGAAAGATAAAGAAGAGTGCCATCTTCTCAGCGCATTGTTTTGTCTCTCCCTCTTCTCTATTCATCTCTCTTCTATTCTTTTCTTTGCTATTCCATTGAAATTGGATTCCTGTTATCTCTCCTCTCTCCTTCTCTCTCCCTCCTCTTCTCCTGTTCCTCTCTAAATGACAAAAACACAAGAAAGGAAGAACAAGAGGGGAATGGAAGCCCTTTTCCTGTCTTCTCCTGTTGCAATAAGAAGGAAAAGAGCATAGGAGATAAGGAAGGGAATTGAAGAGCTCCTCTCGCTACTTTCTCATGCCCTTTCCTTTCTATCTACCACACCAAAACACGACTCTCAGCTTCCAAATAAACCCTATCGAAGCCGGCCACCCCCCGCCCCCCCCTCCCCCCTCTCCTTTATATGAAATGAACACTAGACACGAACGACGTCCTCTATCTTTTAATGCAGCAGGAGAGAGCTCCTCTCTCTCCTAATGGGACATGAAAGTCCTCTTGTATTTGTTTTCAATGAAAGATCTGTCTCTCGAGGAAATGGAAGATCTCCTCTATCTCTTTCTAGGAAACACTTCTTCAAGTAGGAGAAAGGCTTTTTCATAAGGTGTAAATAAGGAGCTCTGTCATTCCCCAAAAAAGAAGAAGGAGAGAGGGGAGCCCTTGGAGGACCCCTTTTCAGAAGAGGCAAGGGCACTCATTACCTACACAGAGATAAAAGAGCTTTCAGATGACCTAGACACATGACTTTCGATTGAATTCTGTGGCTCATACTACAATAACAAACCAAAACGCATTGAACAGCAGCACAAGGCTATGGAAAACACCATATTTTCAGAGAGAGAGAAAAAAAGGAATTGAAGTTGAGCAACTTAGTTTCGATTAGAGTTTGTGGTTCTGCAACAACAAAACAAAATGCATTGAGAAATAACGCAAGGTCTACGGAAAGAACAACTTATTCAACAAAGACAGCAAACATAAAGAAGCAACCGAAACGAATGTTGTGCAATTTAGTTTCAGGTAGCTTCTGTGGGTTTTGTAAAAACCATACGGTATAGAAAAGCGCGTCGGTTAGACCCTTTCTCTTCAAAAACTTTCGGCTAAACCCTACACACCAAATTCGTCAAATTCTGTGGTTAGACTCGGTTAGACTCTTTCTTTGTAGAAACCTTCCGTCCATTACCCTAGGCCCGAAATCTCGTCAATTCTGTGGTTACTCCCTTTCCCTCAAAAAAGCAAGGGTTAACCTGTTGAAGTTTTAGATAAGAAATAGTTATAATGGTCCAAAGGTTTAAATGCTTCTGCTTTTGTGGCAGAAGGAGCCAGCAACAGAACGTGTCTGGCCAAAGAGATTAGGGTTTAAATAGTCCAATGTATATAAACAAAAGACCTATGTCAAATCATACGTAAAGGTTCCTGCCTCATATATATATATATATGTGTCTTTCGAAACCCATCATCCAAGCGTTTGTTCTGTTTGCAAATAGGTGGCGGGGGCTGCGCCCCCCCCAACCCCCACGCTTTCTTGAGCCGTGCAAAGCTTGCTTCAAAGCATATATGAATCGTTTTGAAGCCCATCACGCGAGCATTGTGTTTGCAAATTGGGGTGGGCTGCGCACTGCAAACCCCACCGATTTCTTTATGATTTTTTTTGAAACCCATCATGCGAGCATTGTGTTTGCAAATGGGAGTGCCCCCCCCTCCCCCCCCCCCCCCCCCCCCCCCCCCCCCCCCCCGCCCCCGTAGCGTGCTTCCATGCATATGAATCTTTTGAAGCCCATCATGCGAGCATTGTGTTTGCAAATGGAGGGGGGGGGGACCCCCGGCATTTTTAAGCAAAGCTTGCTTGAAAGCATGTTGGTTTTTTTGAAACCGATCATGCGCGCACATTGTAAGCTTGCTTCAAAGCAGATGAGTCTTTTTGAAGCCGTGTGCAATCATGCGAGCGTTTGCAATGCGTGGCAGTGTTTGGGATTAAAATGCTGGAATTTCCCGCGTCTGGAGCTGTGGAAAATGCTGTATCCGGAGCCTTCAAACACGCAGAAATGCTGTCTTTTTCAGCTATCCGTTTTTTTGAGGTGGCCTGGGACGAATGCTTTCTGATCTCTATCTATTCTTTTGTTGACCCTTCACCGGCGGAGGCGCCTCTACAAGGACGACGACAACGACGGCAAGGACGACGACTCGGACGATGGCAGCCGTCGCCGCAAGGATGACAATGATGACGGCAGCAGGAGGCGCAGAAAGGATGACGATGGCAAGGATGACTCGGATGATGGCAGCAGGAGGCGCCGCAAGTACGACGACGATGGCAAGGACGATGACTCCGATGATGGCAGCAGGAGGCGCCGCAAGGATGACGACGACAATGGTGACAATGGTGATGACGACGACGGTGACGATGACGATTATTCTCCGCCGGAAGAGGAGTGCTTGGATAAGGCGACCACGTGCAGCAAGCTCTGCTACGCCTTGAAGTTGGAAGGAGATGAGCTCAAGTGGTGCAAGCACAGGTGTACTGCGAAGTTTGGCAGCCAGCTGAAGCCGGGATTAGACCACTACTGCAAGGAGTGCAAGCACTTCTGCGAAGACCCCCCGGCGACGACCACCACCACGACCACCACCACCACAGAGATTACTGAGTGCCCTTTCTCCACCACCACCAAGGCTTACTTCACCACCACCCCCCGTGACGATGACGATATCAAGGATGACGATGTCAAGGATGACGACGTGGATGATGACAGTCGGAGGCGCCGCAAGGATGACGGGGATGATGGCAGTCGGAGGCGCCGCAAGGATGACGGAGATGATGGCAGTCGGAGGCGCCGCAAGGATGACGACGGCAAGGATGATGACGGGGATGATGGCAGTCGGAGGCGCCGCAAGGATGACGGAGATGATGGCAGTCGGAGGCGCCGCAAGGATGACGACGGCAAGGATGATGACGGGGATGATGGCAGCCGGAGGCGCCGCAAGGATGACGGAGATGATGGCAGTCGGAGGCGCCGCAAGGATGACGACGGCAAGGATGATGACGGGTATGATGGCAGCCGGAGGCGCCGCAAGGATGACGGAGATGACGGCAGTCGGAGGCGCCGCAAGGATGACGACGGGTATGATGGCCGGAGGCGCAAGGATGACGGGTATGATGGCAGTCGGAGGCGACGCAAGGACGGGGACGACTGAGTGCCCTCGTGCAGCCCAAAGCCGCGAAAGCCGTTCTCGGCTGCGAGCTTGCTCATGTGGCCACTGAAGCCACGATTTGACAATTAGCAGAGGGCTAGTTTAATTTTCGCTAAGCCTGCCCATGCATGTGAGACAGCATCACGCCTGCAAGTTGTGCGAGACAGGTGGTAGTGTTTATGGGAGTGCATGGACATTGCGTGTCATCCAGTGTTGCCATCATCGCATGGAACATCGCCTCTTGCGTTGGCAGGCTTCCCCAAAGGCCATGGCATGTATCAGCCGAGTGCTTGTAACATGCTGCGTGCCACCCCGTTTTGTTTTGCTCGGATGGGCGTCGAAGATGCCCCACGGGCGCATTTAATGGCTCTCCTCCAGACTTGGAGCCTCATACTGGAAAGGACAAAAGCGCAGGCCATGTCCAGACAGTGACCCTATACAGCGTCAATGAACATTGTCGAGTCACACGGGAGGTGAGCTTGGATTGCGCGTTGCATGCAAACTTGACCCTGGCTCGACTATGGGCACGGTCCGAGGGTAGGGCAGCGCAGCGCTGCGCTGCGCCCTCTGCAGAGGACAGCTTTAAGCTCAATCTCAAGACAGCATTTACATCGTGTATCTACATGTATCTCATGATTTCTCTGTGTGAGGAATGGCGCTGCAGGTCCTTTCCTCGGGCCTGGGCTCTGTGAAGAAGGCGGCGTCCGCGCCTTGGGTGCATCACACCTCAGCCCACTCATAAACCTCCATATGTGACCGAGGAACCGGGTCACTCAACGAGAGTCGGCGCTGGAAAAGAACCTTAGAGAGGCCATCGGATGATTGGATTGTCGGAAATCTGCTTTTGCAGCGTTGTCATGCTTTTCCCGTCGCCAGGCCACCTCCAACCAAAACTGGGGTGTCCCCAACAGCCAGTCTGCGTCTCGGGTGACAGTTGGAAGAAATGCCGCGTTCCAAATGTTCCTTCATTTCAGGCTCCATGACATTGCACGCGCATCCTTCGATTTCCAAGAGTCTCGACCTGAGCAGATGTGGATCAGGGTCTTCAGAGGCAGCCGAAGAGACAGCAACGGGACAATGACACCCCTAAAAAGAATCTGAAGCCAGCGGGCGGCTTCTGCTTCCACGTCCACTTGCATTTGCAGTTATACTGACATCCGGGATGTTGTATGAAGAAGCCCGCGTGTTGCATTCTGTAAACGTGACGACGAGCAGTGGTTTAGCTTTTCAAATGGGTGTTGTGAGGGCCGTGCTTTGCAGCACAGAGCCCCAAGCAGAAACCCTTTGTTTCTCTGTTCTTTGCCTCCTTGGAACTTGTAGTCTTATCGGAGAATGGATATGCCAAGCCCCCAGCAGATATGCACTTCGGGGCAAGTTGGAATGCTCGAAGTGATCATTTGCGCAAGCTTGCTTTGGAAGGAGGACTAGTTATGCTGTGCGGAGAACTTGCACAGAAGGATGGCTCCCACATGAGGTTGCTGCAAGGTGGGCATGATCGAAGTAAGTAAGCAGGTAGCAGTAGCCGTGGTCATCGTCGTCTTTGTATTCGTCGCAATTGACAGGGCGCGTGCTGAACAAAAGCAATGTGCCCTGTATATGCTTTTTTGCTACGTAAGCCGCGTGCCGAACAAACAATGAGCCCCGAATGCGCCCCGTGTGTTTTTTGCTCGGCCGGCCGCGCGCTGAACAAAGCGACCGCGCGACCGCGCGCCCGTGCGCCCGTGTCCGTGTGCCTATGCTCGGCCAACTGCACGCGTTAAAACAAATGTGCTGAAGAAAAGTGCACAAAGCAACAAAACACTTTTATCGCAAAGTACTTCGAGCTATCCACAGTTGTAGCCGGCTCTGGCTGATGCTGGCGACACCCTTGGAACTTGGCAGATCCGTGCTAGCAAGGCAAGGCACACTTAAAGGATCTTGAAGGAATGCTCGCGGGTCTACAAACAAGTCGAGTGGCTGGAAAGTCAGGGGGTACCATACTTTAGTAGGCTGTTTAGGCGGGCAGAAGAATCCTGAGCTCATTCTTGCAGAAGCAGGGAGTGCTGCCCTGAACTGCCACAACTTGGAGGGTGCCTGTGAAGCTGCGTGAAGCTGTGTGAACTTCGAGGTACCAGACCATCATCACCGAGATCTGGGCCGGTTTGCAGGAGCTCGACAACCCAAGAACTGGACGAAACAAACTAGCCCAAGTTCACCCAAGACGCCCCGAAGACAAGTTGTCGGATGACTGACCAGGAAGCGAAGTCTAGATGGCGGCGGGTCTTGAAGACGTTGAACCTTGTCGAGTTTTTGGTCAAGAACGGCAGCGAGCGGATAATTGATGAAATTCGCCGTGACCAGTACAAGGTGGCCTTCAACTCATGCAAACTATCTGCCACTGATTGTTTGAGCGGCACAGTGTCGCAGGTCCGTCCGCTCATGGACTTTAGCTACTCCGAAGATGGCCCGTGGGCCTAGTTTGGCCTAGTTTGGCCTCTTCCAGTCTTGGTTTGGCCCAATTGTGTTTGCCGTCAGTCTCTTCTCATGCCAAGGCAAGGACAAGGGTGCAGCGGTTCGCGAAAAGGCATTGCCGGTGTGCCCTAAGACTTGCTTTGCTCTGTTTCTGCTTTTGAAACTTTTGTTCTTTCTTTTTCAGACCAAAGCCATCTTGGAGCTCATCAGCGCTGGGAGCCCGGCTGCCGTTCGGAGACACATTGGCCATGAACAAATGAAAGGAAATCCAGTTTAAATGGTCAGTGAGGTATAGTGAGTAGCAATTCAATATGAAACGGTTAGCGGCACTGTCCAAGATTTGGCAGTGCACTGGTTTGGAGGGTTCTCATGGCTTTCTGCAGGACAACGAGCTGCTGCGCTCGGAGCGGGACAAGGCCACTGCATAAGCTGCCAGTCAATGCCATTGCGCATCACTGAGTCTCTCGAGTCTTCGAGGATGGAAGTGCAATCTGAATCAATCTGAAGTATACAAAAGAAGTGTACCAGGCATAGCGAGGCTTCAGCAGCGGCATAAGGCAACATTGTGCATATTCGGCGCCTTTGCAGGCCCGTACGCACCGAGAGAAGTTCATGGGCATGCCTGGGCCCTTCCATTCTGGCGCTTTGAGGTTACGTGGAAAAGTTTGCAGATTGTGAAAGAACAACGCGTTAACGAGTGCAAAGCGGCTTTGTTCTCTCGTGCAATCTCAGCAAACGCTCGCAAAGGTGGCTTGTTTTTCAAATACCTCAGCCTCTGCTGTCATACTCTGTGCCTGGTCCGTACTCTGTGTGCCGCGAGGTCATCGGTGGACAGCAGCAGCTACGGTGGTGGATACGGTGGCGGTAGCAGCAACTATGGCGGCGGCAGCTACAGTGGCAGTGGCGGCGGCAGCTATGGCGGCGGCGGTGGAGGCAGCGCGGGAGGCAGCTACGGCAGCGGCGGCGGCGGTGGTAGTGGGCGCTGCCCCGAGCACAGTTTGAGAGTCTGAATAGGCAACTGTAGCACAGGATATATAGTCGCCATAGCTGTGTCTGTCAGGGGTGGTTATGGTGGAAGTTCGTGTGAGCCTTGGTCACTGCCTGCACCTGGATGAATTGCCTCCAAGGAGTATATGAGAGATGACAGTTGACAGACAGATGTTGACAGGTATGACCCGTACGTTGAGAACAAGAAGTTTGATGAAGCTCGCCGCAGGCGGGAGGACGAGCGCGATGAGCGGGATGAGCTTCTTGGATGCAGTCATGGAGGGTCATTGCTGGGGCCGCTGCGGTCATGGAGGGTCAGCGCTTTTCGCTTTCTTAGTGCCAAGGCGTGACCGCAGGTACCGCGATGACCGAGACGACCGAGATGACCGAGACCGTCGGCGCCGCGCGGCTTCACGAATTGTACAAGAGTCGCTCCTGCATGTCCTGCATCTATGACTCATAGAAGGCATAGAACGATCCCTGTGTCGCACAGCTCACCACCCTCGGAGTGCAGCAAGAGGCCGGGACGACCGCGACTACCGCGACGACCGCCGGGATCGCGAGGACTTTTTTCACTTTGTGGTACTTTACTGTAACTTTAGATCCTTACCTTTTTTGGGTTTATTGGGTTTCTTACTAAGGCAGCTAAAAGTTTAATTGTAAACGCTTGCGCGCGCCGCCTCGGCAGCCGGGCCGGCCAGCACAGGAAAGGAGGAAAGAGCAAGAAAAAAAGGATCGGAGGAAGGGTAACAGGGGGGGGGGAAAGTGTAAACGCTTGCCTGGGTGCGGGGTGGGGGTGGGGGTGGGGGGGGTGGGGTGGGGGGTGGGGGTGGGGGGGTGGGGGGGGGGGGTGGGGGCAGGGGGGGGGGGGGGGGTGGGGGGGGGGGTGGGGGGGGGGGGGGGGGTGGGGGGGGGGGGGGTGGGGGGGGGGTGGGGGGATGTTGAGGAATTTTTCTGTAGGAGCCACCGACAGAACGGGACCCTCCACGGCGTCGGTTTGCAGCTCCTCCAAGCGATTGGGCGGGGTCTCACAGGGCGGGGGGGGGGGGGGGGTGGCGTCAGAAAATTCGGTTGGGTTAGGGGGAAGGAGGCCCGATCCGGGTCTGCTTGTTCCAGACGCTTCTCGGCAGGAAGCCGAGGCGAATTTATAGCTACCCTCCTGAGTGCAGCCAAGTTCAGAGCTCCGGCATAGCTCATAAAACCCAAGAATGATCCCTTGACGCTCTTGGAGTCCTGGACTCGAGGACGATCGACGTCGGAGCGATAGAGATGATTGGGACAGCCGAGAACTCGGGATCAGAAGCAAAAGGCCTGTAGCTGGAGCGTGCTGGTCTAGGGCCGCTGGGGCCATGTCACGTTCCACAATGACCGCGACGTTTTGTCTCCACAAGGTCGCCGTCGGGATTACGACTACGACGACAGGCTGCACTCTTTTTTGATGTCTGAGCACCTTGATTGCTTCAGTTCTCAACGCTTCAAGCAGGCGAGACCGCGATGGACGTCGGGACCCCTTCATTTGGCACACGTCTGCTTATATGCACTGGCACACTGCTTATTCCAGTACATTGCACATATCTGTCCATGTCTGTTTTCGCATTGGCCTCCAGGCCGTCGCAGCTATGAAGATGACGAACGGCGCGACTCGCGAAGGGACGCCAGTCTGAATCCGCGTTGCCGTGTTTCTGGGAGCATATGGGAGCAAGCGGGTGCTTATAAGTCTCATTAAACAAGCTGATCTCTCGCAGGATCGGGACGACCGTGACCGAGATGATCGTGACCGGGCGGAGAAGCCACCTACGATGCAGGACTGACATCAAAGAGCCGCATAGGATTGCGTATGCACCACATTGCACCACTATAGGTATCATATATGTTGGTTGCCTATACTTGGTGTTTTAGTTTTGGTGTTTACATTCGGCTAGCATTTTTTTGAACATCCTCAACAGAATGCAGCTCACCACGTGGCTCAAGATGCTCTAAGAATCGAAATCTGCAGAGCCGGAGTGACCTCGATAGGGCTACTGTCAGACTGGAGTTTGGCTATTTGTGAGTTCTTGTGCCATCGTGGTGAGTTGGACTTTCGATTGTCAGCTGCCGACACGGATTGGTCGACCTTCGTCTGGCTTGTTTGTTTAAGCTCACGGTCGCTGTGTGCGAGCGTTGTGTTTGAATGCGTTTCTTGTTGAATGCACTCTTTACAATTGCATTCGGTCGGAGTTGTTTTTGCAACAGGAGCTATGCTTGCTACCTGATGCTATTGATTGCTATTGTCTGTACGTTCAGCTTTGCGCTAGGCCAACCTGCTTGACATGGGCGACCCTGCAGAGTCGGCGCCAGCGGCACCGGCGGCACCGGCCGCACCGGCGGCACCGGCAGCACCGGCGGCACAGGGATGGGGCGCTGCACTCAGACATCACTGCAGAGCGACCGCTGCTCGACCTCTGCTCAGCAACGCTGCGCGAGTCTGCGCGACGTGCCTGTATGTGCCTGTCTGCGCGATTGCTCAATTTTGGAGGCGCCTTCGAAGGCGGAGGTTTTGCTGACTTCGCCGGTGCTCCAGCCGGCACCTCCAGCACCTCTGCAAATGATGGCTTTGGGGACTTCGTCAGCACGGCGCCCAGCCACCAGGGTGCCTCTGCAGATCTTTGCAGTCATATTGTTTGGTACTGCATATTCTCCAAGATCGCCTGATGATGAAGCCTAGTGAGGCACCGGAGCAGCTCCGACCACGGCCGCACCCCCACAGAATCCGCAGGCTGACATGCCTCAACGGGAGGATGGGGATCTACATGCATGTAAGTGAGTGAGTCAGTGAGTGAGTGAGTGAGTGAGTGAGTGTGTGTGTGTGTGTGTGTGTTTGTTGTGTGTGTGTGTGTGTGTGTGTGTGTGTGTGTGTGTGTGTGTGTGTGTGTGTGTGTGTGTGTGTGTGTGTGTGTGTGTGTGTGTGTGTGTGTGTGTGTGTGTGTGGTGTGTGTGTGTGTGTGTGTGTGTGTGTGTGTGTGTGTGTGTGTGTGTGTGTGTGTGTGTGTGTGTGTGTGTGTGTGTGTGTGTGGGTGTGTGTGTGTGTGTGTGTGTGTGTGTGTGTGTGTGGTGTGTGTGTGTGTGTGTGTGTGTGTGTGTGTGTGTGTGTGTGGGTGTGTGTGTGTGTGTGTGTGTGTGTGTGTGTGTGTGTGTGTGTGTGTGTGTGTGTGTGTGTGTGTGTGTGTGTGTGTGTGTGTGTGTGTGTGTGTGTGTGTGTGTGTGTGTGTGTGTGTGTGTGTGTGTGTGTGTGTGTGTGTGTGTGTGTGTGTGTGTGTGTGTGTGTGTGTGTGTGTGTGTGTGTGTGTGTGTGTGTGTGTGTGTGTGTGTGTGTGTGTGTGTGTGTGTGTGTGTGTGTGTGTGTGTGTGTGTGTTTTTGTATCATATATATTGGAACATTTTGAAGCATGGCCATGCGCGCATACACGCATACACACACATACACACATACATACATACATACATACATACATACAAACATGCACAAACATGAGTGAGAGAGTAACAAGTTAAGAGGTAAAGTGAAGCAGCTGGCAGCCCCTGCACAACAAGGCCTAGAAGTACGTAAGGTCCCTCAACAAACTGTTGATTCTATGTGATGCGTCAGGGCTTGACATTCCACATGTCCGGTGCTATTCTGCGACAAGCCCGGCGACATCCATGTTTGTCAAGCACGGTGTTGGATGTCGCCATGCCAAGACACCCAAAAGCCCAGAGCCTTCAGGACCCCGGGACCCAAGTCTTGAAACCTGAAGTCAGGATGCAGATGGGGTTGACACGATCTGCCTTGGCAAGGGTTGTACGGGGCTATGCGATGGGGTTGCAAGTTACAAGGCCAATGGTTATGGAATAATTAGGAACCCTATGAAACTTTATGTTATATATTCATAGGAATTCTGTTAAAATGAGAAGGAATCTTACTAAAATGAGTAGGAACCAATAGGACTCCTGTATAAAATAGTGTGAATCGGCTTAAACGATTGGTTTTTTGGGACAGCACAGCGTTTTTGCAGTCCCAGGCCTCCAAAGTGCTGTACTGTCCCAAAAAAAACAAATGTTTTTAAAGCAAACACAGCATTTGTTGCTTGTTTTGGCTTGAGAAGATTGGCTTTTTTGGGACAGTACTGCGTTTTTGCAGTCCCAGGCCTCCATAATGCTGTACTGTCCCAAAAAATCCAATGCTTTTAAAGCAAGCAATGCAAAAATGCTGCACTGTCCAAAAAACCAAAACACCAAAGTTTGTACACTTGGCGTCCAAGGTCTCTAAATTGTTTTTCGGGTTTTTTGGGACAGTACAGCATTTTCTGCTTGAAAAAGATTGTTTTTTTGGCACAGTACAGCGTTTTTGCTCTTGTGGGCTTAAAACATTGGTACAGTAGAGCGCTTTCGTGCTCGCTGCCCTAGGAGGCTTCGAAATCCTAAACCTCTCAACCCTACCATGGCACCTGAGAGGAAAAAGTGTGGGCACATGGGAGGGGGGGTCCCCCCCCCCCCCCCCGCCAGTTATCCACCTGTTGGTTGGTTCTAGAGCCTATCGGGAAGCGGGGGGGGGGGGGGGGGAAAGGCTACTTCAGAGCTTCGGCCGTATTAATTTCTGATATGATAATGTGATGATACTGTGTAGTTATCGTATGAGTACATGTTGTGCAGTTATTGTATGAATAAATTTCGAG